GTCATTTGATAAAGGTTCGAAGAGGTGGAGAGCCGCAAAAACTTGCTCTTAAGGGCCCCCCTCAGAAACTAACTTTGTTATTTTTCATCCGATTTCAACCAAAATTTCAGAAAATGTTAGTCTTGACTAGAATAGCTTATGGTTAAAGTATCTCCCACAAAACTCAAAGAAATGCACAAGTTCTAGTCAATTCATTACCCCTTACGCGGGCAAGGATTTCACAATAAAGATACGAGCTAACAAGTCCGCGCGGTTTTCAAGTTGTAGAGTACCCTTAGGGCTAGGACTTAACAGGATCCGATTTTTGAATTTCCCTTTATTTGATTTTTAAAGAACGTTTTTCGAAAAATATTCAAATTTGAGGTGCTAATAGAAATGAACTATCTAAGTTTTTTATTTTAGCAAAAGAGACATTTAAAAATCGGAGCCTGTTAAGTCCTAGCCCTACATGTCTCCTATATAATAAAAAAAATTATCACTTCCATGTCGAATCGTTATGGAGCAAAACCTACCCGCGTAAACGGCATGACAAAAAAACTGATTTTGAGAAAAACGAAAAATAAGTTTTTAAAAACCTTACTTTTTTCAATATGGGGGTTCGGAAAAACCTTTGTAATATCCTTAAATCTCGTGATAAAATCAATCAACTATAGTGCATTCGAGAGTAGACAATTAGCTGTATCTAATGAGTTATAAATCACAAAATCGATAAATTTGACCAAAATTGACTTTTCTGAGGGGGGGGGGGGAGGGCCTTAAACTTATATTCATCATTTTCTTTGAAAATATATGTGAGTTCCACTAAATTCAGCTCGATTAGTTTTAGCACAGCTGACAGTGACTGTTGTAGACTATGCCACATGTGTAATCCATCAACTACAACAATTTGCATATTCATCACTTTCGGTAGAAGAAATTTTGAAAAATCTAATGGCATTTTTTCTACCTACTACTGTACATTTTTCGAGTCCAAAAGAGAAGGTATGTGTTCTTGAGGCGAACCGAATGTTGTCTAAGCAATTTATCTAGTTTCATCTAAGATGAGATTCATGTGCAATTTGTACAAACAACAGTTTTAAGAGTTTCACACATAGATCTGATAAACTATTTTGTTACATATAGCACATTTCGGACTAGGAACTATCAAAGGAGGTATCCCAATTGCTTAAAAGATTTTGACTTGATATTTTGACTATCAGTAGGTTCCAGTGAGACTGGAAGAACTCCAACAGCGTTCGTGTCCATGGCTTGTTGGTGAACAGATGAAGCCCTTTTATTGAATGTCTGTCTGAAGTACAGTATTCACAGCAAATTCAAATGAAGTTACTTCGATTTGAAATTTTGCCCATAAAATGCTCTGGTGATTTCTAGTGTGTATCGAAATTTTCAACCAAAGTGAATGATTCGTTTTCGACATATAAAATTTTCAAAATTCGCCCTCTTATAACAGACAGAAGACAATACAGGGGCTAATGTGAAAATTCAGTGCCTCGAAAAGCAACCATTCGCTTTGGTTGAAAATTTTGATACGTACTAGAAATTATTAGAGCTGTTTATGGGCAAAATTTCAGATCGCAGTAGCTTCATTTAACTTTGCTGTAAATACTGTACTTCAGACAGAAATTCAATAAAAGGGATTTATCTTTTCACCAACAAGCCATGGACACGACCGCTGTTAGAGTTCTTTCAGTCTCACTGAAACCTACTTATAGCCAAAATTTCAAATGAAAAGCTTTCAGACAGTTGAAACACTTCCATCGCAAGATCGATACCTATCTTTTATTTAGTGTAGCGTCTCCGTTCTTTTTTGCAAGTTTTCTTTAAAAGAATACTTCAATTTGTTACCATAATTCTTCATCTATTTTCCCTAGACTGAAAGGCTAGGGTCTAGAAACGGAAATTCACCTGTGTCTGTCTGTCTGTAACACTTGGTACAAATGACCATTTTTGTGATACAAAGTACCATAATCATGGTACAAGTGACCATTTTCGTGGTACAAAGTACCATTGTTGTGGCACAAGTGACCATTTATTTGACACAATTGGCCATTTTCATTATACAATTGACTGTTTCTGTGGCGTAATTCACCATTTTCACGACACAATCAACTATTTCTATGGCACAGTTGATCACTCTTATGGCTCAAATGAGCATGTCTGTGCCACAATTGACCATGCCCGTATAAGAAATGACCATTACTTGGGCATAATTGTCCATGTTTTGGTCGTTATAATTGACTAAGGCATCAAGTTTGTCATATACATTAGCATAGTTCAATATTTTATGTGAACTATTTAAATATATCGATAGTATATAATATTAGACATGTTACAAATATTAATAATTTCTTCTAAGCTCATCATTATACAGAATTCATTTTTTTTAAATATAGGGACATCTTGGTCATCATTCCGTCAGTCTAGGGTCAAGGGAATCGACAATCAATGTCGATGAACGTTACTTGTTAATATAAGATAGTGCATATAAAATTGCATTCATGATTCCTCAGTGTTGATATTATGTATCAAGTGAATATTTTAGATAGACTAATACGTTAGCGTTGAACAATCATGTTTCATTGTAATTTTCATGATCCTATTTTTCTCAGGTGTGTTCAAGCTCAATTATTGATGTAAATTTTACGACGCTACTGTATGGCTATGGTGAATCAATTAATAGTTTCCTACAACTTGATCGACCTCTTCTTAGCAGGCATCTTCAAATCTTGGGATGGATGTGTAAGGAGGCACGATCAGTTCTGAGCAGTAAACTATCTTTTTTCAAAGACAAAACTATGGTGACCGGATCTGCATCTACTCGAACTGTATTTGAAACCCAAACGGCTTTTTTCATTGATGCTTACATCAAAAAATTGATAATAGATTATAAACGTGCGTGGGAATATAACTTGGAAATGTTTCATGGTAACCTATTTGCAACTGCATTCAATACCGATTGGTCACTAGAATTAGTCAACAAATCGAATCTTTATCTCATAAGAAGTGTGCCCGTTGTGTTCCCTAATAGCACATGTAATTGTATGATTTCGAGTGCGTGTCAGAGACCTCTACGAATTGGACCACCTGGTATTGTGTTACCTGGTCTTGTCGTTGGTTGTTTGCCTATCGATGGGCTGCAAATGTCGACACTTGAATGCTTTTTCTCGTCATCTTGTATCGCAACTATTCTAACATATCTCGAGTACTATACACGAATGGATGGTTCACCACCGCTTGATTTTGTTCCGCCAACAATATCTGATTTTTCTTTTCTTCCGCTAAGCAATTCGACTCCATCCCGATTTTCGCCGATGACTTCAATAGGTGAACTCATTGGTGAGCTGTTAACAGAACAATGGATTACGAACATTTCTTATGAAGCATACTTCACTGTATGTGCACCAACTTCATGCCGGTATGAACACATCGAACGTAGTAGTATTCTGTATGCAGCAACGTCGCTATTGGCTATTTACGGTGGACTGACTCTTGGCTTGAGATTTATTGTTTGGCATGGTACTCTTCTATATGGATATTTAAAAAACCGATTCCGTGTACAACCTATGATGGAAATTTCATAATTTCTTGAAACCATTTATAATCTGAGCCGATCGATAGGTTACTAAATGAACACTATGAAAAGTATCCGCCCTTCCTTTCGAACGATTTCTAACTCTTAGTAATGGTAGAGATCACATCAAAGAAGACTGCTCAGTCTGAAACAAGGGTGTGAGGTGGGAGTGTGGGTGGGGTGTGGGTGTGGGTGGGGTGGGGTGGGGGTGGGGTGTGGATGGGTGTGAGTGTGGGTGTGGTGTGTGGGTGTGTGTGGGTGTGGATGGGTGTGGGCGTGAGTGTGGGTGGGTATGGGATGTGGGATGTCGATACAGATTTAGATCAAGAAATGACTAGTACCTTCACCCACCCACACCAACACCCACACTCCACCCACACCCCACACCCACACCCACACCCACACCCACACCCGTAATGCCGGGTGTTGGAACTGTCGCCGCTAGCACTGGTGGTGCTATTGTCGGTGCTACAATGGGATTTATTGCTGGAATGTTTGGTGCTATTGTTCATGCTGTGAAGGACTGATGTTGATAGAATTCCTTAATATTTTTCTATCTTTCATTCCTTCATTTTGTTTTTTTTTCAATAAAAGATATTTCCTAAAAGCTCCGAAGAGGTCGTACATGCTATTTGAAACAGGATGTGTTGTAAAATCAGAGTAGTGAAATTTAAAATATCAAATTGATTCGTCTCGTTCATGAAAACAGTGAGCTTGAACTAAAACACTGGGCCATATAACCCTAAAAGCGAATATAACTTGATGGTGTGGGTGTGGATGTGGATGTGGGTAGGTGTGAGTGTGAGTTTTCTCTTCACTCACATTCACACCCATACCCTCAATCTGTACGCCATTTTGGTTTTCAGAATATTCAATAACCAATTTAGCTCATGGCAGCAAATAGGTTTCTTCTATTGTCAGTACTGATATATGCCATGGTGGAATGATTTTGGCAGAATGGGTTCGTTCTTTTGTAAAATTTCATGATTATTTATTATGCAAAAAGCAAACGTAGTATACATTTAGCAAATGTGGGTGCGGCTGTCACCAGAAGCAGTGAATGGCTGGTCACTTGTGTTGTGCTTTGCGTTGATGGTGCTATCTTTCGATTGTTCAATGTTTTAGTGCTATTTGATGATCTGAAATTCAGTTCTGTTCACTGGGTTACGGTTTCAGTTATTTTTGGACATACTGCACGATGGGGACGAGTTCGGATAATAAAACAGAAATAAAACTTCTCTTCTAATCCAATTGGTTAGAAACACATGTCCTGATCGGAGAAGATGCATGGTTTGATTTTCGTAAAGGAACTATCTTTTAGTCTATCTTCTTATATACTACCTTGTTTCTGTCTCGGATAGTGGATGAAAATATCGAGATATACTAAAATTCATCACCAAATAATTTATTCAATTCAATACATTCCTTTTTATTCATCAGTATTGTAATCACGAACGTAAATGTCACGATCAAGATAACCTGTATCTATAGCAGCAACAGCAACAGATGTTCGACGAGCAGCATAATAAGCATCACGATCAGAATCACTGTCTATCGACGTTTTTTTATGATTAATATGTGTTTCATGTACAGCGGATTCTAAAATAAAATAAATATTCAGAAGTCTATCCTTAGAAAATAACTAGTTCAGTCTTTCAGTAACGATTCGTATGGAATTTTCAGGCTGAAGCAGCAATAATTAAGACAGTATTAAAAGTGTTTAGCTTCTGTGATTAGTTTTTCTCTCGAATTGATCGTTGTTCTTGTTGATTTTCGTATGAGTATCGGCGAGATTCATGGAAGAGAAGTTCTTTTTTTGTTGATCATTCTCTATATTTGGTGGTCAAAGAACCAGTTATACAGATACTTTGTTGAGACATTCGATGAAGTGCATGTATTTGATAGGCAATTAGGGAATGTGGAGCTTCTACCTCACTTCTTATGCCTGTCCTGTTAGTATCTAGACAGTGTTAATTCAAAACAGAAGCGAGTCGCCATTTATGCAGATGTAGTGCATCTGATATGCTTTCGTTTCAAACATTAGTTAATTGTTCAATATTATTTGAGAAAAGCACGACAGTGCTTCACTGTGTCTTGAGTGTTGATGTGAAAAGACGATTGATATCCACACTCGTAAACCTATGTAGGCTTTTATTTCAAAAATATTATTCACATTTATCAAATAGTACGAGATGAAAGTTGTGTATCAGCATCGAGCTATGGTTTAGAATTTTATCAAAGTAATCTTAAGAACTCTTACAATACTGTCTCAGAGTGTTTCAATATTTTTAGCACGAATTTATAGATTCCGATGGGTTTCTAACGATTCTTTATAGGCTTTTCTTTATAGTGTTACTGCTTGGTTTAAAGAGTGTACAGATAACACGGGTATTTTAAACTCGTTTTTTTTCGAAACATGAAACATAACATGACATTTCAAAGCGCATTCTAGAGATTGCGTGAGAAAAATTAGAAGCTTTTACTTGTAAAAGAACTGATCAAGAACTTAACGATATTTCTATTCTCGGAAAAACCTTGGTTTGTAAGTGGAATTATTGCATAAAAAATATAACAAAATTGTTCGTACATACTATTGAAGCGTTGCTTTAAATTCAGGTAGATCAGATATTTCTTCTTCATTTCATCAAACTCCATATGTTCAACAGTGAAACAAACGCCAGGAAATACTAATTCTTCTTCTTCTCCTTGATACTCAGAATATTCTTGAATATTTGCAGTAAAAGCAAAGGTGATTTCCATGATGAATAGCACGTTGCAACCAAGAGACTGTTCGACGAGATCACGATTTCGACTGCACGAAGTAAACGCTTGAAATGAACCATACTTATCGGGTCGTTGAATCAAGTCTCGATAAGAGTCAATTTGAGATTCGGTTAACTTGGCTGCTCGAAACAATATTTTTTTATCTCTTTTCGTCGTAGCCTTTAGATTGATTGGATCGTCCCACAAGAGCAAGCAGAAAGGTCCCAATGTACGAACTTTACTTCGCCACATTTCTTCATGCTCGTTGCTTCCTACTAATCTCAGAGTCTCGTTCAATTTCTTGTACAAAAAGTCTTCCATCGAGTAGAGATGAGCACAGCATTTCCAAACTTCTTGTATGCCTTTATCCTTTTGATTTCTTAGTTCTTTGGCCATCCATTTAGCTGAACTTAGTCGTCCTAGTTTTCTGCCTTCTTCAATGATACCTAGAGCAGCTCTCTCAACAATGATTGGAATGATTGATACATCGCGTGATGGTAGTTGATTCCTTCCAAGCTTGAGATCTTTTCTTACTTCTTTAATAAAAGGTGAAATCCAACCGTATTGACCACCAAAAGAATGTTTGTTAGCGACAGGATCATTTAAAAAGCGTTCTTGCCTTAAATAATTACTATCTCTGTTGCCGATCGTTCGTTTTACAGAGCTTTGCTTGGTGGTATCTGTTTTTGAGACTTGAGTATTGTGTTTGAAATCTATGCAATGATTGTCTAGCATGGCTTCAAGTTTCTTAGCCTGAAATGCTTCTTCAATAATGCAGTTTTCTATGTCAGAGTAAGGAATCCATTCAGCTGGCTGAGACTTGTCTAAGGGATTCGGATTTGCCTGCAACATCCATTGAACTCGTGTCAATGATTCAGTGAGTGACAAAGATGTACGATTCATAATTGTTATTTTTTGCTTCAACTAAAAACAAGCAGCATTAAAGTATAATAGTTAACTGATATCTCTTATGTTCTAGAAACGATGTAAATAAAATATATGTGTCATGTGATGCATGATTTCAGAAAGATACGTTATTATGTCACATGACATCATTAAAACAGCTTCACCTTCTCCTCGACACTATAGACTGCTATAAAAGAGCTAAAGAGAGACAGTGCATAGAAATGTTCGCTAAATCTTACTAGGATCGACGAGACTCGGTCGAAGTATTTCTTAAAAGCATCTCACGATCCACGGATGTTTAAGACTTATTATTGAAATGACCATGTGATGCACGCAATTTAGTTGTATTAGCTAAGATTAGAACGGTTTAACTTTTTTATTGTCTTTCATGCACTGACGACGACTATTCCTGTTAAAGACAAAAATTAGAGAGTATTTTATCTATCCTCGTTTTGATCATATTCACTTTTAGTTCATGCGGGATTTATATATATCAAATACCGTATATGCATCCCATAGAACAACTACCGAACTCGTAACTCCTCTTGGCCATTCATTTCTTGAGTCTATGGGTCTTTTTAATTCAATTTGAATTTTGAATAAAAAATAACACCCCATTTTTACCAAGACAGAGGGACTAAGGGGACTAAGGGGACTAACTAAGCGGACTAAGGGTAGGAATAATGGTGTACACAGAGACGTGCATGGGTCGCGGCTTTTTCGGGGGGCGCTTCGCGCTCCCACGCCGCGACGCTGAAATAAAAGGTGTGTTAGATGCGGAAACACGCTTCCCCACTGAATAGTCCGCTTAGGCCCCTTAGTCCCTTAGTTCCCTTAGCCCCCTTAGTCCGTTTAGTCCCCTTAGTCCCCTTCGTCTCCTTAGCCCCCTTAGCCCCCTTAGTCC